GCGGCGTGGGCGGCGGCGGCGCGCGGGAAGCGAACCGGAGCTCCGGCACGGCACGGCGGCCGCCAGGGAACCGGGCTCAGGTGCACGGCGAGAGGGGCGCGGGCCGCGGCCGGTCCGCTGGGACCCCGGCCCGGTGCGCGGCGCTCGCGCAGGCTAGACCTCTCCATCGCAGGCGCCCTGGGTCCAGCTTCCAGTCCCAGGAGGCAGCAGCACCGGGGTCCCCGGCCCCTGAGAGCTGGCTACCGGGCTCAGACCCGCCCCCGTCAGCCCCTGACCGCACCGCTCCGCCCTCAGCCAGCCCGCGCCCGCCCTCGACCCACGATTTCTAGGGCATTGGCCCGCGCAGCTGGGTGATCCCTCCGAGCTCAAGTTGCAAGGGGGCGGGCCCGGGCAAGAGGTGGAGTCTCCCGCCAATTCAAGCCTTGACTATAAATTGAGCTCCCTGCCCTGCCGAAGACCAGATGCCTCGCCAGGCCGCCTCGCGGTTGGTGGTCGGAGAAGGTGAAGGGCCCCGGGGGGCTTCAGGGCCTGCAGCTACCATGCTCCGCTCCCTGCTGCTTCACTCTCTGAGGCTCTGTGCCCAGACGGCTTCGTGCCTCGTGCTCTTCCCGCGCTTCCTAGGTACGGCCTTCATGCTCTGGCTCCTGGACTTCCTGTGCATCCGCAAGCATTTCCTGCGCCGTCGCCAACGGGGTCAGCCAGAGCCTGAGGTGGAGCTCAACAGTGAAGGTGAGGAGGTGCCCCCAGATGACCCTCCCATCTGCGTTTCCGACGACAACCGCCTGTGCACCCTGGCCTCACTCAAGGCCGTGTGGCACGGCCAGAAATTGGATTTCTTCAAGCAAGCTCACGAGGGGGGGCCCGCACCCAACTCCGAGGTTGTCTTGCCTGATGGCTTCCAGAGCCAGCGCATCCTGGACTATGCACAAGGGAGCCGCCCACTGGTGCTCAATTTCGGCAGCTGCACCTGACCACCATTCATGGCGCGCATGAGCGCCTTCCAGCGCCTGGTCACCAAGTACCAGCGGGACGTGGACTTCCTCATCATCTACATCGAGGAAGCACACCCATCCGACGGCTGGGTCACCACAGATTCGCCATACATCATCCCACAACACCGCAGTCTGGAAGACCGAGTCAGCGCGGCAAGGGTCCTCCAGCAAGGTGCTCCAGGCTGTGCTCTGGTCCTTGACACCATGGCTAACTCCAGCAGTTCCGCATATGGCGCTTATTTTGAGCGTCTCTACGTCATCCAGAGTGGAACCATCATGTACCAGGGAGGCCGTGGCCCTGATGGCTACCAGGTCTCTGAGCTGCGCACTTGGCTGGAGCGCTATGATGAGGAACTGCATGGTGTTCGACCACGTCGGTTGTAAATACCCAAGGGACAAATGACTGAACTTGGCGGACTGAGTCTTCGGGCCTTCGAAGCTCGTGTGCAACTGCCCCAAACCACGAGCTTGGCTAGGTCTGGATGACACAGATGCACGGAGCCACGAAGCTGGGGCTGAGTCCTGCTCTCGGCCACCTAAAGACTTGCCTCCCTGGGACTCTGCTTCAGTGACTCCCAACTCCCACTTTTACCTACTTGGCTCGCTTCAGCTCCTCTTGGGGGCACTGCTTTAGCGCGCGCTGGCAGCCTTGACCCTGCTGGACTCTCTCACACCTGCCCCTCAGTGCTCCTTCAGCCAAGCGTCGTAGTCCCCAGCATCCTGGGGCGAAGACATGTTGGCCACGCCCGCGCGCGCCCTGAACGCAGCTGGGTTCCAGCAGCGCTGTAGGCTCTTCCCAGTTGCCTGGCACCCACCTGTCGCGCGCGCAGGGAGTCCTGCTGCTTATTGTGTTTATTTCTTGTCCCTGGGTTGGGGGAGGGTCTCGGAATGGGGAAGGGCGGGCAGGATAGTTTCCCCCGCCTGGCTTTGGGTGCACAGGAGCTCTGCTGTTGATGACGAACCGTCTCTAACTGGGCTTGACCACGGGGCGGCTCTGAATTGCAGGGGGCTCGAAATAGTGCCTAAAGCAAGAGGGGAGGGTGTTCTGGGTTCCCTGAGGAACTGTTGGAAATGGGTGGGAGAGGGAAGTGGGGGGGGGTCTGTCTCCGAACCAAAGGAAGTGGCTTGGGAGGCACTGACGGGGTTCGCAGCGCCCCAGGGGCGGGGGCGGGGGGGGCTAGAACTCCTTGGGGATGCCATTGCGGGGGAGGAGAATGGAGGGCCCGGTGGGAAGGCCAGTCCGTGAAGTGCTTTGTTGGAATATTCCTTGTATATAAACTTTTAAGCTACAATAATAAAGAGGAAGTAAATTGTTTTCTGGTTGCCTTTGGTCACTATTTTCTCATGCTTCTGAAAAGCAGCAGGAATTAAATTTCTCCCTCGCGTCCCCATAGCAAAGCAGGGCGGGAAGGAGCCTAGGCCTTGCGGGAAGTGGATGGAGTGGGAAGGAATTCTGCTAGGCAAGCACGCATGCCACACCTGGGCAGGTAACTTAGGGACGGGAGAAGAGCTGCAATGTAGAGGTCTACGAGGTCATCCAAGGGGATGGGAGAGGCAAGAGGGTCTCCACTTGCAGCTGCGCGTGTGTCCGCGCGCTACACACACACACACACACACACACACACACACACACACACACACACACACACGGATAGCCACAGAGCCGTCTAACTTCTCCGAACCTTTGTTGTTGCAGGGGAGGGGATGGTGTGAAGGGTGAAAGGGACTGGAAACTTCCAAGAGCTGGGTTCCGATCCCCTGTGGCGCCTTTGCTCACCTGGCCCATCCCTTGGTCCTGCAGCTGCTCAACAGCCTCCCACCAACCCCTGCCGGGCTTCTGCTGCGCGATTACCAGCGACTAGCAAGACTTAGCTCCTCCGCGGAATAGCACCATTATTCAGGCTCGGCTTCTACTGCTGGCCGGGGGATGGTAAGGGGCGTGCGGGCACCCAAGACACTCTCGCTTTTCCCCCTCCCCAAGCCTCACTCAAACCTAACCGCCTCCCACCTCCACCTGGCTGGTCAGAAAGACCAGGGATAGAGGAGGGTGGGGAGGTCCCGGCGGCTAGCACCGATCCCCCTGCAGTTGTGGCCAGGCTGCGCGAGGCTCTCTCTTTCTGGTGCGTGGGTGAGTGGGGACGCGACAGGTCACACCGAAGAGAAGACCCCTGTCCAGCCAGTTCCGCCCCTAATTTGTGCGCAGCCCCCAAGTTGCTAATCCGGGAAAACTTTTGGAACTGACACCCTAATATTGCTGGCTTTTTCTTTTTTTCTTGATTTGGGAAAATAATTTCAATTGAAAAAATAACTTAAGAAAAAAGAATCAGCACAGATGGTATTTCTGCGTCCGTCCGTCCCCCGTCCGTTCCCCATCCACCCCCCACCCCCTCGCACTTCTCATCCCGAAAACCTCGGGAAGAATAAACAAGGAGAAGACGGCGGGTAGCCGCCTGGAGCTGGACAGGACCCGCCCAGAGCCTGGATGGGGGCTCGGCCACGTGAAGGGAGTGGCCGGCGGCCCTCCGAGACTGCATCCCCATCGGCTGCTTGCTGCGGGGGGGGGGGGGGGTCTCGGGCGCGCAGGGCGACCTCCCATCCCAGCAGAGCCCGAGCCCCAGGGCCTCCCCCGGAATCCCGACCTCTGCTAAAAGCTGGCTCCACAGGTCCTGGATGCGCCCAGGATCCCTGCAGCTCCAGGGAAGTCTTGGCACCCCCTCCCCCTTCTCCCTTCCTCCTTCCGTCCTTCCCTTCTTCCCTTCCTTTTCTCTTACAGTCCTTCTTTCCTTTCTTCACTTTTCCTTTCTGCCTTTACCGAACATATTAAGAACTCCTTTTCTTGTAAAAGTGACGTGCTGAAGACAAACTCCAAGAAGAACACCTCCCCGCCTGCGCGCTACCAAACCCCTGTCTCCCTTTCTCTCTGTTTCTCCCGCTTGTAAACACAGATCTGCAGAAACAAGAGCTGATCTCCCTCTTAAAGCGCAGCCTGCCTCCCATGGCATCCTTCCTATGTCAATATGGTGATTTGAATAGGTATTTGAACATGGTCAAAAGGAGAGCCAGGGACATCAGCCAGAGTGAGCGCGCCAAAACTTAGGGATGGTCCCTCTATTCACAGAATCTGGATGGGCAGCCTGAAGCAGCTCTGCCCCTCTGCCAGGGTGTGGCACACTTCTAAGGTGAAATGGCTAGGCCAGGACTAGTAGGGCTCATTTCTGAAGATGTGTGTTTTATTGCATACGTGCTAAAACTGCCTTCAAGAAACTGTTTGGTATCCGTTCATATTTCTCATATACATATATATACATATATATTCATTCTTTCTCTCTATCCCCCCTTTATTTTTAAGTGAAAACCACAAAGATGACACCCAAGTCCATTCTCCATCTTAACTTTTAAATACAGACAGAACATACAAATTGTGGAGCCCTGGCTGAGAGCAGTTTTCCAGTGTACATCAGGACCCAGCAGTGGGTGGTGAAATCAATGCAGCCCTTTAAGTCAAGCAATTTGAAGAGGTGATGTAGAATAAATACAATAAAAGTAACAGTGTGTGCTTCACCTAAGGAACTAGGGAATTGAAGTGTCCCCAGCTTTCAGGAGTGGGGGGAGGGACAGGGTCACTGAGGTGAAAGGTCTTTCCCCTGAGAAGTCAAAAATGGAAGGAAGGAAGCCCGGCAAGAGTGGCTCCCCTCTTCCCCCTGGTCCAGGGCAGCACCCATAAGCTGCTGGCAGTGGCTCCCTCCAGAGTCCATTTCACATATGCACCATTGTACATGCCACATTCTGGGATATATTTTCCATAACTGGGTTTGATAACCGCCCACCCACCCCACATGCTTCTCTCAGGCCCTTCCCTCCAGCAGCCCCCTCCACTGACAATCCATCTGGTTTGAGCAGGTCTGTGCCTGCAGACTGACTGCCTGGCACCATCCAGGCGGCTAAATGCCCCCCCCCCGTGAACTCACTCTGTCCTCAAGAAATTTTGGGATCCAGTGGGGGTTATACAGGGTTATGACTGTTACCTTTACTCTCCAGTCTCTTTCCTGCTAGTGCTTTTCTAAGGCCCAGGGCGGGCTTCTCACTTGCCCCATGGAGGCATGGGGCCTGTAGAAGGAAAGGATATCCTTGAAGGAGCAAGCACAGCCCAGGAAGCCCGAGAATGGTATCTGTCCAGCAAGGTGTCCTTTGTATGACTGCAGGGGGCGGGGCGGTGTACCAGGGCAGGAGGACAGGCAAAGAGGAGCACGGAGCTCCAGCCTGGTGTCTGTCTCCTTCAACTTTGGTGACAAGAGCTTCAGACAGGAAAATGGGGCACCTGTCAGAAGGGAGAACTGGTTGGGCTGGAGTACATCTATCTGCCCACCACAGACAAAGGAGTTTTGGGTTCCGATGGCAGCTGGCATCTCTACTTTTACCCAGCAGCTCTCTTCTAGGGCTGCCTGAAGGGAACAAAGGATGAAGGGGCAAAGAAGTGGGTGAGTACCAAGAGGCCAAAGCCCCATCCTCATATCCCTACAAATGACTCTGAGGGGATTCGCTTAAGGCTGGACTCCTGGCCAGACACTTATGAGGACCTGCTGATTGGTCACTGTGATGAGCCCCATTTCTTAGATTTAAAAAGTGAGGCTCTGTATGTGAGGGTAACTGGGCCAGGATGCTTGAGCCTGAACTGCTCCTTCTACATTCCTATGTTAAAGGCCTAACTTCCAGCTTCTTAGAGCAGAACATGACCTTATTTGGAGGTAAGGCCCATAAAGAGGTGATGAAGTTAAAATGAGGTCATTAGGGTGGGCCCTAATCCAACCTGACAAGCATCCTTGAGGATCAGGATACAAAGACACACAGAGGAAAAGCCATATAAGGACAAGGTAAGAAGGGGCCATTAACCAGCCAAGGCCTTACACCAACAGGTAACACCTTTGCCTCCGACTTCCAGCTCCAGAACTGTAAGAATTCATTTCTGCTGTGTAAGATGCCTTGGCTGCGGCACACTGCTACAGCAGCCTCAGGCTTTGACCAAGGCTTTTCTGCCCACAGTCCTCCAGCTCCTTCCCAGGGGAGGCTGAGGCCAGTGGGGCACTTGGGTCCTGTTCCTCCTTCCACAGGCCTCCGAGGTGTGTCTGAATTGGGGTGTTGAGCTTATGTGCTCTTTTTTAAATATCTGCAAAGATGAGCATGCGTACATACACAGCTCTAGAAAAATCCACCCGAGATAGGCACGGTGCTCCTCTCTGTGTGGGTGGAATTCTGACTGTTTTCTTGCTTTCTTCTTGGTGCTTATCTGTAGCCTGTGATTCTTCTGTAATGAACATACATTGCTCTTATGACAGAAAAATCCAACTAAAAACAGCACAGTTGGTTGGAGGGAAGGGTACAGGGCAGACATGGGCATGGCCAAAGATGATGGGCACCGGACCAGGCCTAGGGGAGGAGGACAGGAGTGTTGGGAGATGCCATGGTGAGAGGAGGGAAGGAGGGAGGGAGGGAGGGAGGGAGGGAAGGAGGCTAATGACTGAAACACAAGACAGTTATATTAGAATTTCAGTTACACAATAAACAATATCTTAGCATAAGAATGTCCCATATATTGAATGGAATATACTCACACCAAAAATTGTTATTCATTGCCTACATGAAATTGACCTGGACACTCTGGATCTATCTGACAGCCCTGACGGGAAGCCAGTGTCAAAGGTGTGTGCCTCTTGGGCCCTGCTGAGAATCCTTGAAGTCAGGAAGTCAGAAGAATTAGCTCATCTCCTGAAGACAGTTAGACCCTGAGACTAAGCAGAGGACCCCAAGCTCTTTGGAGATTACATCTGGGGACCTGAAATCAAGGGAGAACTGACTGAACACAGCTGGCAACCGGATTTGCAGAGCACGGTGCAAAATGAGCAGGCAAGACCCCTGTTTAGAAAGCAAGGGAAAAATGCCACTAATGATATAAAATAGAACGTGTTGCCTCGCTCCCAAAACATCTCAGCTTGTCGCAGTGTTTATTTGTTATTTAATGTCATTATACAGAAAGAACGAGTAATGCTTTACTCTTTGTGAAATGTATTGCCACTAACCTCACAGCATTACTATTACATTAATGTCATGTGATGGAAATATGTCGCTATTGATGTGCTAGTATTA